TTTTCAAACTTTTCCACTTGGCGACCCCCTTTACCGACCGAGTAAATATTTTCGCAAGCCTTGGTATAGAGGTTACTAGGAATACAAATTAAAACATTTGCCGATATTAAACCATAAAGGAAATTTATTCGAAAAACAATTCCTCGGTACCAAGCTGGTTTTAAATTAACTTTCGGTCGTTGAGAAGCCCTGTTCTACAACACGGTTTTAGTGTAACACGAAAGGAAAATTACGGGAACTGTCGTGAAGCACGATAAGGCGATTTTTATTTAACAGATTCAGAAAATTATATTACACACTTATGGTCAACTACAGCAACAGCTTAAGTGTATATGCATATACGTTCAACACTTTTGTATATACGGTTGGCCATTTATTCGTGTCACAATTGGGCGAGAATTATCCGAATTTTATTACGTCAAAAATCTCAAGGTCCTACTTTATGTTTTCTATTGAAATTGAATTAAATGCAAACCACTGATTATTGTTCGAACTGTTCAGTTCAATAACTTTTTATTCTTCAGCAGGGGGGAGCGCACGTTTGAACGTTGTACAATAAGTATTCGAAGCAACGCAACTATACAAGTTCCAAAAGTGACGATGAAATTAAGAAGATTAAACTTAGAATTAAGGCTACATAATTAAAGATAGTTTATATATATTTATGTTACATAAGTATTTAATATTTAATATTAATAAAGTATTTAATATAAGATAATTTAATTATTTAATATAAGTATTTAATATTTTTAATAAAAATGAAACTTGAAAAATTGTTTGTTTTTCATAGTTTTAGGAACGTGGTTTGTTTTTAATAGTTTTTGGAACCCCCTCCTTCCCTCTTACCTCCCACTATAACACGGTTTCACACAGCACGCGTTATTTCAATTTTATTTAAACCTATCTATCGTGTGATAGAATTATAGGTTACTTGCTGTAATATTTGGCATTTATTCAGTTTGAAGAAAATTATTCGTGAAAATTTCCAGAGGCGAGAAGATCGTTTCTGTTCGAATAAAACACTAGCTAATTTTCTTGGCAAAGTTGACACGTTCTCGAGGAGATTAAAAGCTGCGAGAACACGAAACGAACGAGGGAGAGAGAGAGAGAGAGAAAAAAGTAACAGCTAAGATGGTACACCTTAAAAGGAAATAGTTGGTGAAGTAATTAATGTCGTTCTGTTGAATCATTCTGGGAATTTAGGCGTACGCGTAGGCGTGAAGAAAGCCGTAAGATGGAAAAATACGTATAGCGAGCAGGTACGAAGATAAAAGCCCGAATAAAAAAAAAAAAGGAAGAGGAGATCAAAGTCAACTAACTGTGTAAATTCGTTAGCCGTGTAAATACAGAGAAACCTGAAAGCATAAGAAGACCAAGAATCTACTTTCTGGTACTCCTCCTGCTCCTCCTCTCTTCTACGAAGAAAAAATTCGAATGAAATTTACCAGATTTTACGAGATTCTAAAAGCACATCGTGCTCGAAGGTGCCAAAGTGTACAGTACGTGTACAAGAAACCTAAGAATATATAAAATGTGAAGATAAGGAAAAAAACGTTGAAAAAAAACTCTAAAAAAAAAAAGCGAATTTTCATAGATTTATAAGTAATACAAAAAAAAAATGTATCAAATATATAAAGTATAGTACAGGATAGGCCAAAAATCACCTCTGACTAAAATAATAAATAATAAAAAAAAATAACTTTTAAAACACAGTGAAGAGATCATGTTTGAACTGAAATTTAATTCGAAATTAATGAAATTAATTCTCTCTTATATTTCGATGTTTTATAAGAAAAAAAAAAAAAAGATGGGAAGAAACTTTTGGCCCACCCTGTATTCTCCATAGTACCAACTACGAAAAATAATTTCCTTTCCTTTTAATTCTGTCGCACAGTCTCGAATCTTCTTCGAGATTCTTTCTTTTCAATTATTCTCGGAAATA